AGACAAACTCCAAGGTAGTAGCATGACCAGAGAGAACATCTGGCCCAGGCTGGAGAGTACTTCAGGAGACAGGTAGGACTCAGTAGTTAACTTGATCTGCATTCGAGAAAGTGAAGGGGGTGGAGGAACTGACTTAGTAAGAAAGAAAATACTCTAAGCCAGTCCCAGAGAGCAGTCAAGCACTTGGCAGTTCAATCTGAAAGAAAGGCACCGAGGTGAGTGATCTGGGTCCTCAAGTGGAGAATGGTGAGGCTGATGACTCCCCGGGAGTAGGGGTGGGGGAACAAAAAGAGTCATCAGAAGATATAGGAAGTAAGGGGAGTGGAAACAGTTGTTATCTTGGTATCTTTCAGCCCTAGCTTAAGGTGCCTACCCGGTGTCACTTCCCTGTGGCAGCCTTTGGATACAAGAAGGCATGTTTCCCTCACTAGCCAAGCCGGGGGATAAACTGTCCCTGCAAGAGCAGTGAGCTCGAATCCAGAGAGTCTCTGAATGATGGCTAGTGGCTCCTGGAATTCAGCATACTAGTTTCTGCCTAGCCTGGAGTCAAATCCCAGGGACAGGTACTCAGGAGTCACACTGGGAAGTATTAGCAAGAAACAGGCCTTCAAGGACCTTTGGCTCTAAGCAGAGACACCTAGTGGTGTCTTAGTGAAACAGGGAGGAAGGAGTTAGTTGACTCGGAAAGAATGGAACAGACCACATTTTGGTCATTCCGTCCTTGGCACTTAAAGTCTGGGTCCCTTTCTTCCTGTATGTAGTATAGCCCTCACTCACAGATGCTACAGAATAGATGAGTTCACACATAAAACACCCCATGCTGAGAGTGCCCCGGAGACTGTGAGCATCCCTCCAGTACTCCCCTAGTACATTTCTGAAATCGTCCAGCATCATAGTGGAATAAACACTATAGTCATCTATGCTTAACAGATAAGAACAGACTGGGAGGATAGTGAACACTAAACCTGGTCAGAGCATGGCCCTCACTCTTATGGACTGTCCTTTCTGGTTGGAATCTCTGGAGAACTGGCACTGCACCCAGATTCCCGACCCACGCCTCTGTCTCACTCGCAGGTACGTGTCAGCCCTGACCACGCCCGCGCGCCTCTCGCCCGTCGACTTCCACTACTCGCTGGCCACGCAGGTGCCGACTTTCGAGATCACGTCGCCCAACTCTGCGCATGCCGTGTCGCTGCCGCCCGCTGCACCCATCAGCTACCGCCTGGCGGAGCAGCAGCCGCTCCTGCGACACCCAGCGCCGCCCGGCCCGGGACCGGGGCCCGGAGCGGACATGCAGCGCAGCTACGACAGCTACTACTACCCGGCGGCGGGGCCCGGGCCGCGGCGCAGCGCCTGCGCGCTGGGAGGCAGCTTGGGCAGCCTGCCCGCCAGCCCCTTCCGCA